ATAATCCCACTATGTATATGATTTTAGTGAGGCCTTGGTTGCCTTGAACTTGACCTGTGAATGTTCAGCGGAGTGGTAATATGTCGCCACGATGGTTACGAGTTAGTACCAACTCCCATTTAGGGTGCAGATGAGGGGTACTGAGGCGAGTTCGAAACTGCAGTCCAGCCTATTCGAGCTGAATACTATTACCTTTTTAGGAGGCGAAGCTAAGTGAAGTTCAATGACATTCCGAGGCCTACTCATTTAATTGTGTGAAGAAACTTAATTTTCATACCTTTACTCACCTTAACCGACATAGACTAAGTTCTCTGCTAATCAATAATTGGTTGGGTTACCTCATTTCGCCATTTCTCTCTTGCCCTTTGACTGCACTGCTTGCTCATATAGTCCCTTTTTATCCTTTTTATTCACATTGTCTTTTGTATGCTTCTTCTCTGCTGAACCGTCCGAAGGTGTCAGCAGTCTGTCACAATTTAGACCCTTTTCGTCTGGATCGTGCGCCAGACAGCTTCCTAACTCCACTCCTCGTCGACAGGCTCACCGTCTTCCTGATAGGCTTCATCGGCTTGCACGCGGCCTCACTTGGCTCCAGCAGTTTTGTTGAAGAGGAGCACCAGCTGTGGTACCACTACTCGGCCAGCTTCTTGCTTCTGCTCTTCTTCATCACTCTGGGCGCCAGAGTGTCCGAAGAGCTGCCTCTTCACAGCCAGCCTGCCTCGATGCCCGCGATACCTTCCAGTCCTCCGCCCAATCTGGCCGTTTCTGGCGGGCAGGGCGGTGTTGCCAACCCGTCGGTACTAGCGGCTGGTCTATCACCCGCCATCCTAAAACGTCGAAGGCGCTGGCATCTCGGCCTGTTGCTCGGCGTCTTGATTGGCGAGCGCGTCTGTTTGCGGCGTCTGCATGCTACCGGCGACGCCTGGATTCATCTGCCCGACATCGCAGACTGGCTGACCTTGTTAGAAAAAATGCTACCCTTTTAATGATATAAATAGTTTTCAAGACAACCTGTAATTCCTTATTATGAGCTTAATTAGTTTGAGGTAGTTTAAGTATTGCTATTTGAGGTTCCCCACACAACCAGATGAGTGGGCCTCAGGATACCTCCCAAAAGACTATTTTATCCAGTCTGGACTTGACCGGACTGCAGCTTCGACGGGATTCGATGCCGGGATGTGAGTATTTTTATTCGCTACTTACTGATAGTTTAGAAAAGTACTTACATCAAGAATAATCAGCCTCGTCGATTGCAATAGCAGGCACATTTTTGCTAAATCGACAATCCTACCATAAAAAAAGGTGAGTTGGGAGAGGTTATGCTTGTCTTGAATGTCGCATCTACCCTGTTACTCACTGGAGCCCGTGGCTGTGTCGTCGAGTGGAGCATAAACATCGTCACGAATCTGCAATCTAACTTGGATGTGATACGCTTTTTGGAGGCAAGACTATGTGAAATTTTACAGCATCCTGGTGCTTACTCATCTGATTCTGAGAGCTATCAGTCCTTAAATTGCCTCAACTCAATAAGGTAGTCTAAGTGCTTACTAAAAAGTGTTACCCTATTACGCTCGGAGGGGGGGAAATAAGGGCTTTCATGTCAAGCGCAAATGGGACTAACTGGTGGTCTTTTCGAGGTTTTTTTTATTTGGTATCCTTTAACAGATCGACTCTTTTTCGAAGCTTCATGCTTTTCAAAATAAACCAGGATACCTAAACGTGAGCTTATTCATCTAAACTTCAGATTGCCTGGACCACGTTTACATTTGCGTCTATCAGAGGTAGACTCTTTTAGGGAAATATTGTATATAGAAGAGGCTTGGCTTGTCTTTAAATTCTCTTCTGCCCTGTGACCCACTGGTCATCGTGCAATTCTGGTGTGGTGTTAGCACATCGAGTTTATGCGCTACGCTACTACAATTCGGGTGCCGATTAGACCAGTTCAAGCGAGATACAAACTGCAGTCCACTTTTGCCTGGATGATAATGTTTTTTGAGTAGCAAGGTTATGTGAACTTCAATTGAACCGTAAGGCCTATACATAGGAGTGTTAGAAAATTTAACTATCAGTCCATTACCTTATGTAACCTAGGGTGAATATGCCTCTTTTATGAAAGTCTTTACATCAGATTGTGTACAATTTGTTATGCTGATGAGTCACTTTGATGATGTTGGCTTTTTGACGGCAGGATTCGAATCATAACCTTGATTTGCTTTTTTCTAATTCACTTTCTTTGCTGTCATTATCGCATCGAATTATCTTTCTCCTACGTACCTAAGAGTAGTACTCATTCAAGAATTTCTGGTAGTCTTTAAGCCTTCCTAATTTGTATATAGCAATGTCGTTGATGATAATGCCAAAGAGATGTTTGTCTTATCGAAAATCTTATTACAAGTGGCCATGGCCCTCAGAGGCAGTCATATAGGCCCTGTGATTTACTGGTGGAAAGGTGATTTGTCGTTGTTTTACGCGTACAACCCTATTTCCAATTCCATTAAAATACTGATGTCACACGAGACAAGGTTGTATCTGCAGTCCGGCACAGATTAGAATGCGATGGTTTCATGAGATCGATTCAATTCAGTGTGACAAACTCGATTATCAGCCCCGCATCATCTCGTTTGACCTAAACTAATTAAATTTATAATCCAATTTTCACTTAGTCTCACAAATTTTATTTATTTTTCACCTTTTGAGGGAAGGTTGTGAGGGCCTTCTTGCGGCTGTTCCACCACTGTTTGTCGGTTAAAACGGGAATATACCAGTTTCCTGATGCAGGAATTCGATTTTCCTCGCAGTCACCTGAAATATATGTTGCTTAGGTAGCCGGTGTATGCTAGCGTTCTAGTCTTTACTATCTCGATTCACTCTTACCTAATTCAAGTTTCACTTCTTCCAATATTGTCTCAAAACTTCTTTCTCCCACAGGCCTGAGAACAGTGGAACTTTGTTTGAGCTTCAACTCTTCGCCTGGCTGCTGCTGATCGCTTACAGAGTCAACTGTATCTGGAGTCAACGCCATGCTCAATTCCTTGGCAAAGAAAATCGGTACCGCCTCTTCTCTTTCTTCACCTCGTTCTCAATTGTTACTCTCACCGGCGTCGCTACCACACAATTGGTCTATCGATACTTGACGACTAGGCATATGTTCTCGTCGGATACCCAAAGGTGGGTGTTTAGCCTCTGATCCTCTCTTTACTTTCAGACCCTTCACTGTCCCGCTCTACACATTTACATCGACCCGCGTGTAGACAAATTTGTCTGCTTTACTGGATTATTTGCTCATTTTAGCGGACCAGATAAGATAAACTGTCATTTAGAACGATCACCTGTCTCTGAACCTGCAAACTGTGCCTCTACCTTTCTAGAAGAGAATGACCTGACTTATAAATCCTTTAGCTAGGCGGTTCAGCTATTTATTTTGTATCAGAGTCCATTCTGAGCACTACTTTAGTTAATTTTGTTCGCAAAATCAACCTTTATTCGCTTGGTACCACAGATGTTGGTGGTGGATGCGAAAACGGGGTTCGAGGATGCTTGGCAATGTCGCGATAATATGCGCCCTAAGTGCTTTCTCGCATGATCACTTTCACTTTTGACATTACTAAGATAGAGGAGATTCTCTGGTTCGACTTCTGCAGTCCATTTGATGAGAGCGCATTTGTGGTAGATACGGAAAAGTGAAATTACTTGACTGTCAGATTCACTATCATCCCCCTCATTGTCACGGATCCAAGTGTATGCTTGTGTACTCCTGTCTTTTCTTTTGCTATTTTCACAACTCGCACGTTTATACATTCAAAGATTGGTTCGAATATAACTCAAATCCACGTAGAAGTGGTTTGAACTGGTATCCGCAACTTGGTTATTTTGTCAGGGTGACCTAGTTGAACGCACCTTATCCGAAGCTTTATGCCATGGTAGTCATGATAATTGTCAGTGTCGGTTTA